TTTACTGCACATCACTCTAATGCAGCTTTTTCTGCACATAAAAGGGAAACACATGGTTTTGTGAGGCAATAGAAGAGCCTTGTTCTGTTATGGACGGGAGATTGGCAGTTTTGTTTTGAATTGTGCCGTAAAAAAGGAGGATTCATTGGAAAAGATTATCAGGAATTCAGTATTTCATTCGAAATAGGCCTTTATTTAATAGCCAGCTACTAAATTACCATGTTATTGCCATCTGATGCCATCATTTTACCACCAAAGTTATTTTTTAAGAGCAAAAGAAAATATTGGTTGATTTGAAAATTGTGTCATAAGATTTTCTGATGTTTTTGAAAAAGAAGTCTTATGTTGACCATGGCTGCATTTATTTGATCAAAAATACACTAAAACGGTAATATTGCGCAATATTATTACAATTGAAAATAACCGTTTACTATATTTATTATATATTATAAAATGCAATGTATTTCTGTGATTGCAAAGCTGAATTTTCTGCATCATTACTCCAGTCTTCAGTGTCACATGATTCTTCAGAAATCAGGCTGATTTGGTGCTCAAGAAACATTTCTAATCATTGTCAAAGTGGAAAACAGCTGTGCAGTTTAATATTTTTCTGGAAACTTATAGATTTTGTTTTTCAGTATTCTTTGAATAGAATGTTTGAAAAACAGCATTTATATGAAATATGAACCTTTTTAACATTATTATGTCTTACTGTCACCTTTGATCAATTTGATGCAACTAAAATTTTGTATGTGATTTTGAGAGAGTTTGCAGCATTCTAACTAGTGGTTAAACGGATCGTAGTTGATCCGTGATCCGTACGGACCAAGCCCCACGGTTCGCCACGCATGTGACCCGTAGATTAATTGCAAAATTGAACCATAATAGAGTATAAGTTTATCATTTGTTCGTATTTACACAAGCAAGCGAATTTTAAACAATTCCAGAGAGAAAAGGCGAAAGAGAACTCGATTTGTTACTCGCGCGAGGTTCTCTATTCGCACAACCGCACACATGAAGCACGCACATGCGTTTAACAGACAGCGCACGAACACCGAACTCAATCCTCTTCTGAATTCTCTGAACAGACACATACAGTTATGACAAAATACCCATCTCGACCATCATTCAGGTAAACGCAGTCAGTTACGTCTCAAGTGAATGAAAACAGCTGAGAAAGAAATCGGATTTGATGTGTATCATTATATCGGATCCGTTCATCGGGTCTTAAAGGGGTCATATGATGCTTTTTTAAAGATCATTATTTTGTGTATTTGGTGTAACCGAATATGTTGACATGCTTTAATGTTAAAAAAACACATTATTTTTCAAATACTGTACATTATTGTAGGTCCTCTATGCCCCGCCTCTCTCAAACGCTTCGTTTTCTACAAAGTCCCTCCTTCCGACAAGTGCAGTCTGCTCTGATTGGCCAGCTGACCCAGTGCATTGTGATTGGCCGAACACCGCAAGCACTCGTTGGAAATGTAACGCCCCTTACCATAATTGCGAGCTTCATCTTTCAAAATAAATGTAAAGACAGTAAA